GTCACCTCGCTCACAAGCAACCCAACTCCTGGCTCAAGCGAATCAATCCTTCCTAGCCTACCTCCCGCAGTAGGCTAGGACTTAACAGGCATGCGCCACCATGCCCAAGGCTCATTGGTTCTGTTATTTAGTTGGCCAATTAATTTCTCCTATTTTTAGTAGGATGGGTCTCGCTCTTAGGCTGTTTTCGAAATCCTGACCTTCAAGATGCTCCCGCCTCGGCTCCCAGAGTGCTGGGATGACAGGCGTGCAGCCACACTCTGGCCCTAAGGGCAGTTTGGCATCAAACTCCCATCAAGCGGGGTAACCAGCCCTGACAGAAATGTCATGTAGCGGCGGGGCTCACGCCTGTCATCCCCAAGCACTCTAGTTGAGGCCGACGGCGGGAGATTGCTTCAAGTCAGGAGTTGAAACCAAGCCGCAAAAAGCAAGGACCCCATGTCCTACTTAAAAATAGATGGAATTAATTGAAAGATAATAGAAATTAATAGAAAAAATTAATAAACCATATACAGAAAAAATGCCGGCGTGGTGGCGCATGCCTGTAGTCCAGCTACTCGGGAGAGGCTGAGCAGGAGGATCGCTTGAGGCCCAGGAGTTGGAGTTGCTGTGAGCGAGGCTGACAGCCAAGGGCCTCTAGCAGGGTCGACAGAGTGAAACTCAGTCTCAAATAAATAATAAACAAATAAAAGATGTCCTTGAGAAGATTCATTGGATATTCGTGAGATCGTCAAAGAAAAGCTCACCACTTACCAAGCGCCTTTACAAGCACACAGTTCTTTCCTCATCTCGAGTCCCTCTTCAGTTGACACAACGGTACAAGGACAACAAACGTTCCACCGACAGCCAGTCTCCGCACAGAGATCCCTGTTAAAAAAAAACAAAAAACAAAACAGATCCACACGTCACCTATAAATAGAGTCACACCGGTCCTTGCATTGATAGTTGTTGCAGACCTCTTTAAATACAATTTTTGGTCCTTGCCTGTGAGAGGCCACTGGGTGCTCTGGGCTTGACCCAAAAAATAATAATAAAATAAAAATACACATTTCATCCATCTGAAATTAAGCTCAAGATCATTATCAAAAAGAATTATTCAAGTTTTTTAAGAAAAAATAAAAAACAGAAAACTTAATTAAAACATAAAAATAAATGCAATACACATTTCACTTCATGTTTGTTTGTCATGACAATTCCGTGACATGATCGCCATTTTTCTGGTGACCCAGTGACATGAAATGACTGCGAAGGTCACTTAACCATCGGTGCAGACCCTGGCCTCTCTTTCAAGCAGTGCCCTTCCTAACACGAGGAGGCATTTCAGTAGATCTGAGGGGTACAGCCTTGCCCCAGCCTCTCTCCTCAGTTCTAGAATGGTCCCCTTCATTTATTGATTGATTGATTTTGATTATTTATTATTTTGAGACAGAGTCTCACTCTGTTGCCCGGGCTAGGAGTGAGTGCCGTGGCGTCAGCCTCACTCACAGCAACCTCAGACTCCTGGCTCAAGCGATCCTCCTGCCTCAGCCTCCCTCCCAAGTAGCTGGGACTACAGGCATGCGCCACCACGCCGGCTTAATTTTTTTTTCTTAATATATTTTTAGTTGTCCAGCTAATTTCTTTCTATTTTTAGTAGAGACGGGGTCTCGCTCTTGCTCAGGCTGGTCTCGAACTCCTGACATCAAGATCCTCCCGCCTCGCCTCCCAGAGTGTGAGGCTATTACAGGGTGAGCCACCACGCCTGGCCTACTCAGTTAATTTTTAGGGGAATAAAATGTCACTACTATTTGTGAGAGACCTAGAAAAAGTTTACAAAACACACCCCGATTCTAAGTCTGTTTCATCGTCTATGCATACAGAGAGAGAATGGAGACAAGAAAAAACATTCTTCTTCCAAAATAGAAGGAGATGAACTACAGGTGACACCAGGCGGAAGTCCACAAGGGACCTCGACTGCAATTAGCTTCTTAGGAGTTGGGTGCCCGAAACAAGATGCTGGCGCGGTGGCTCACGCCTGTCATCCCCGCACTCTGGGGGCCGAGCGCGGAGGGCTCGTTCAAGGTCAGGAGTTCAAAACCAGCCTGAGCAAGAGCGAGACCCCCGTCTCTACTATAAATAGAAAGAAATTAATTGGCCAACTAAAAAAATGTATACAGAAAAAATGAGCCGGGCGTGGTGGCGCATGCCTGTAGTCCCAGCTACTCGGGAGGAGGCTGAGGCAGGAGGATCGCTTGGAGGCCAGGATCGGAGGCTGGTGAGCGAGGCTGATGCCACGGCACTCACTCTATCCCGGGCGACAGAGTGAGACTCTGTCTCAAAAAAAAAAAAAATGCTGTCCTCAGATTCCCTATGGTTAAAGGGGGCTGGTGCTTGAGTGGTTTGCAAGCTATTCCCAAAGAAGTCTTGTTTTGAGCACTTTTTGGGGAATCACAGAGGGAGTGAATGAATGAGATGAATGAGAGATGAAGGGGCAGGTTGCTGAATGCACATCTACTCAGGAAAGCGAGACAGGAAGTGAAAAAAACAGACATTTGGAGGTAGTCAGAATGAACTTGAGTCCAAATTCAGCCTTTACGCTGTCCTGACCCTTAGCCCTTGTGATCGTGGCTGTCGTATCTATAAAAGCGGAGATTATCCGCAGGCCACACACGGAGCTCATTGGCGGTAAATGAGCAGCTGCATGTTCACAATAATATCCTGGGCCGGCGGCGGTGGCTCACGCCTGTCATCCAGCACTCTGGAGGCGAGGCGGAGGATCGCTCCAGGTCAGGGGTTCGAGACCAGCCTAGCAAGAGCGAGACCCCCGTCTCTGCTAAAAAACAGAAGAAATTAATTGGCAACTAATAAAAATATATAGAAAAATGAGCCGGTCATGGTGGCGCATGCCTGTAGTCCCAGCTACTCGGGAGGGAGGCTGAGGCAGGAGGATCGCTTGAGCCCAGGAGTTGAAGCTTGTTCGTGAGCGAGGCTGACGCCACGGCACTCACTCTAGCCTGGCAACACAGCAAGACTCTGTCTCAGAAAAGAAAAATGATAATATAATAATAAAGAGGAAAAACAGAGGCTCGCTGCTATAAAATACACTTGCTGGATCGTCCAAGGAACGCATGTGCCGTGGAACTCTAAACCAGAAGTGACCTTAAGTATTGTTTGGTACAAACTTCCTCATGACAGATGAAAGTGACACTGTCAACTGACTTCTTGGAAGTCCATAAAGCCAAGTATTATTTCCTGAGTTGTCCTGGAGCCTCAACCTCCAGAGGCGGCTCTGTGCCCTGCTCTGTACCATTCTGGGCATGGATGACCTTGAGAATCTCACCCTCACACCTCGTGTCCC